AACAACAATAACAACAACAAAAACAACAGTAACAACAACAAAAACTACTACTACTACTATAGCAGCAACAACAACAACAACAACAACAGCAATAACAACAATAACAACAATAACAACAACAACAACAACAACAGCAACAACAATAACAACAACAAAAACAACAATAATAACAACGACAACAAGAACAACAAGAACAACAAGAACAACAACAACAACAACAACTACTACTACTACTACTACAGCAACAACAACAACAACAACAACAGCAATAACAACAATAACAACAACAACTACTACTACTACTATTACTACTACTACTATTACTACAACTACTACTGCTACTACTTTATCAATTTGTTATTTGTATACTGAAATTAATTTAACAACCATTTTTTTTGTTTTTTTGAGGGTATAGAGAGGAAAAAGGCGAAGAAATAAGCAAAAAAGGAATAGAATGGTCAGTTCCTTGTCAATTAATGATATAACAATAATATGTTGGAAATAATTAATGGAATTTTTTTTTTTTAAGGCATTTCTAATAGATAAATTAAAGGTAAAAGTAGGAGGAAAGAAGATGGAATGATTAGTTACAAATTTTTGTTTACTTATTGTGCAAATTATAATATGTTAAAATTAATTAATGGAAAATACTTTGTTTTTTTTCGGGGTGAGGACATTTCCAGTTGGTAAAATTAAAGGTAAATAGGTAAATAATGTAAAGAAAAAGCAAAAAATCTTTTAGGTATTTTGGTGAAAAATGAGCAAGCATTTTATTAATTATTATTAATTACAAGTATCAGATCATTTTTATTCTTACAATATTGATATTTAGGAAAATGCTATTATTCATTAAAAATCAAAGATGATTTATATATAATGGACGCCTTTAGGCAATTATCGCCCTAAAGGCAATTATCAGATGATTGATTTCTTCAGCTGGCACTGATTAACTTTCTTTCTTGAATGCAAATCAGTGCCATTGGAAGGAATAGTTTTTATATAAGAAAAAAAAAAATTTAAAAAAATTGAAAATTAACAAATTTCTATGCCATCTAAATCAACAAATTTTTACGGTAAAAAATCAAACTTCTCCTCAATAAATGGCTACTTTAAATCGATTGTAACATTTTTCAATTTCTTCCGAAATTATTCACTCTCACATTTCAATTTCATGAAAAAAAAAAAGGAAAGGTTTAACACTTTAAAAAAGTTGTTATCATTATTAGGAAATTATTGATAGTACAAAAATTCTGCATATATCTATGTATGTATGTGTATGTCTGTGTCTGCGTATGTGTGTGTGTGTGTGTGTATGTGTGTTTGGCCATTATTTAAGGAAGAATTGAATGGAAATTACTGATGAGTTGTGAAATTTGCGCAAGGTCAACATATAGTACGCTTAGTTGGTAAAAAGAGAAAGAGAAACGTACAAAGTTCGGGTATTTCCATATCAAAATTTTTACTACAACTATGCTAAAAATGCCAATGACCGCTATCCTTACCCTTCTCTTTTTCCTACCATCCATTCTAATCAGTAAAATTTCAAATCAATCCTTTTCCTCTTCCTCTTTCCTTTCCTCTTCCTCTTCCTCTACTAATTTCCTCCTCTTCAACAAATTCATCATCGAAAA